CTCTAAATATTCAAATACTGTGTAATAGAATTAAAGAGTTTACCTGTAAGCTAGAATAACAAATCCCTGATTAACCTCCAATTTCCTTTTCTCTTGTTCTTACTTTCAATTCTGTCCTTACCATTAACCAAATTACATTGCCAACCTACATTATTTGCATAATGATACCCAATCCTGCCCAGTTCCTTTGGGCCAGAAGGCTCAGCCTCTGTACTCCACAGACTGTGTAAGAGCATTATCCAAATCCTTGGTTTGCTTGTTTTTGAGGAACTGGGAATGAACTCCAAGGGTGCTTTATCACTAAACTTAATCCCTTGTCCTTTTTATTTTTGATTTTGAGACAGGGTCTCACTTAATTGCCCAGGCTAGCCTCAAATTTGTGATCCTCTTGCCTTGGCCTCCCTAGTTGCTGAGATTACAGGTGTGCACCACCACACCCAGTTCCAACACCTTTGGAATGTTCCATTCTACAAATTCAAAAGTAATATACTGCTGGGTCAGTAGTGCATTCCTGTAATTCCAGCAGCTTGGGAGGCTGAGACAGGAGGATCACAAAAATCAAAAATAACCTCAGCAACCAGAGGACTTAATGAGACCTTATCTCAAATTTTAAATAAATAAAAAAGGACAAGGACTAAGGACATGGCTCAGTGACTAAGTGACCATGGATTCAATCCCTGGTACCAAAGGAAGAAAAAAAGAAAACCATACTGTGTTCCTCTGCTATTTACAGCTTCCCTGCTTTATCTCCTAATAGTATTGTGAGTCCTTTAACAATGCCTTTTTCTTGATATTTTGAGTTAAAGTTCAATCTAAATTGTTTCTGAATAAATAAATGAATGGTTATCTTAAAGAATAGATTGTGAATGTTTTACTGTATGTAATAGATTTTCATAAAGGACCTTAGAAATCTAAGGTCTAATTTGTTATGGTTTGGATATGAGGTATCCCCTAAGGGCCAAGTGTGAGAGAATGCAAGAAAGTTATGAGGAGAAATGATTTGGTTGTAAGTCTTAACCCAGTTATATCAGGGATTAATAAAAGTGGTAGGGTGTGGCTGATGGAGGTGGGATTTGGGGCATGGCTATGGGTATATATTTTCTATATGGAGAGTGGAGTCACTCTCTCTACCTCCTAGTCACCATGACGTGAGCTGCTTCCCTCCGCCACCCTCTCCCACCATGATATTTAGCCTCACCTCGAGCCCTGAGGAATGGAGCTGACCTTCTTTGGTCTATGTATGACCTCTGAAACCATGACCCATCAAATAAACTTTTTCTCCTCTACAATTGTGCTGTTCAGATCCTTTAGTCACAGCAAAGGAAAGTTGACTAAAATATAACTTAAACAGTTTATATCATTAGACCAATTTCCATCTATTATAAAAATTTAGTTTTATAATTTTTATTTTATAAATAAAATTTTAAAAATCTTTAAAAAA